TCCCTTTAAAGTTGGGGAAGTAAAGCATTTAGGATAGGTTTTGTTATGGAAAATAATAAAAAAATCGTATGTGAGCGCTCACAAAATAAAATAATGGCCACTAAAACACTGTATACCAAAGCAGCAGCCGTGGTTGGGGATCAAACTAAATTTAGTAACAACACTGGGTTAATACAGGTGAATAACAATCACTAAGAATGTATATAATATAAAACATCATTTATTGAACATTGTGGCGAAACCAACCTTGCCACTGGGCATTGGAGAAGCCTGTTTGCCCGCCTCCTGCCTGCTGACTATGGCCCCTGGGAGATTTGGCCCTTTAAATACAGTATTTGGGCATATTGTGTTTTATTATGCTGCTGCTGGCCCTTTAAGAACCATCTGGGGACATACTGTGGAGTTACTGGGTGGCCACCATTTCATGTATCAGAGGCACATGGTGAGAACAATGGATGGCGGCCATTTTAACTCACAGACACTGTTTGGACTTTTCTACACGGTGCCATCTCGCCAGTATTTGGTGCACGAGGACATCGTTCAGTAGTTTTAAACTATACAACAGGGGACACATTATACAGTAATTCTTTTTCATATAGCCTGTATATGTTCTGCGGAATCTGCATTAAACTGCATCTTCCAAACAACTGAACGGATCTGGGTGAATTTTGGATATGTGGTTCACCCAGATCCCCCGGGGTTATTACATGTTTTGGAGTCCCTGTGATGTGTTTTATGATACTGTATTTCTCTGCCTGTGATAATTAGATTAACCATTGTGTTCAGTAATCATATCACAGGCAGAGGGGAGGATTTTGTGTGGGAGTGTCTGTGTGTATTGTACGGATTGATTGGTTGTATTTCAAAACCATGTGGGCAGTACTATGTTTGTGGATTGTGAATAAAAGAGACTGTATGTGCCAGTACAGTCAGTTCTGCTTGACCTCAAAACGAAGTGTCGTCTCGTTATTGGGGGAATTGGATTGTATGCTGATTGCCAGGAGTGTAAGCTGATTGTATGCTTTTCCTGTTCAGCTGCTTACGGCATTAATATGCTTGAGAGCATTCGTATGCTTCTTCGGTTCGGTGGTTGTGGTGTCTGCTGCAGTGCTTGAAGTCCTCAGGAAGCGCTAGGAGCATCCTTAAACGGAGGTACCCAGTCAGGGTGCAAGGTGATCCGTTACAAACATAAAAGAAAATAATAACATATGAATCAATATTGTAGCAATAAAATGTATCACCTGAATAAAGACACCAAAAGTCCAGAGCTAAGAAGTAAACACAGTGTGGG